TGTTGAAGATGGATTTGAAAATAAAATTATAATTCCTTATAATAAACTTTTTAAACATGGAGGAAAAGTTGTACATGCTACGGTTACTACCATTGACGAAAAAGAGGTTACCGTTAGCACTGAAACTGAATTGGGAACTCGTATACCATTTGCATTTTTAATAATTGCTACTGGTTCTAATTACCCTAAACCTGGAAAATTAACTGCTGAAAATAAGGAAGAAGGCGTTATCGACTTGGTCACACAAAGAAACGCTTTAAAAAATGCAAAGAAAATTTTGATTATGGGTGGAGGTCCCGTGGGAATTGGTACGTTTATAGATTTATGAATAATAAACTATTACTAGTATTACATATTATTGACTATTTCTGAACTTATCGTTATTATATCTCGTTAACTTTAAATAGAACTTGCTGGAGAAATTGCATCAGTTTACCAAAATAAAGAAATTACACTTATTCATTCGGAAAATAATTTGCTTAATGAAAATGTCCCCCAAAAAATGAAAGATCTTCTTGTTAAACAATTGAGAGAACTAAATGTAAACCTTATTTTTGGCGAACGTGTTAATCTTCCATCTTCAGGTATTGGTGATGGTTTGTCTCCCTTAACTTTGGAAACTGACAAGGTAAACATTTATCTTTTCTTTCTGGCATTGTTGCACGAGATTTAATATAGATTTCTGTATTTTCATATATGTATAATATTAACAAATTTTATTTTTTTTTTATAGGGTACGCAAATTGAATCAGATGTTCAATTTGTAGCTTTTGGCGTAAAGCCCAACACTAGCGTTATAGAAACCTTGGACCATACATTGATTGAAGAAGATACCACACGAGTAAAAGTTAGGTCAACTCTTCAATTAGATCATGATAATTATGGACATATATTCGCCCTCGGCGACATAACAAATATTAATGAAACAAAGCTTGCCTACCGCGCTGGCCTTCATGCTGATATTGTAGCTAAAAATATTATTGCACTCATTAATGATAAAAAATTGGTTGAATATAAACCTGGTCCTGAATCTATGTGTATTACCATTGGAAAGGTATTACTTTACATTGTCTATTATTTATTTATCTGTTATACTGCAATTTCTTTCGTTATTTATTTATTTTTATTAATTTTATTCTATTTTATTTCATTTATACTAGAACAAAGGAGCATTTCTTTTACCAATGGGTAATATGGTTGTCGGTAGTTTCATGACCAAAAATATAAAGGGTAAAACACTCTTTGTTAATAATTATTGGAAAGCATTGAATGCTAAACTTCCTAGTGCATAAATCTTTATTTTTTTTTCTTTATTTCGGCACTGTGAATAACATGACTTTTAATCTTCTTAACGGTTTTACAGTAATTATAATCTTATTCATGAACATTTTAAATATAAATATATATATAATTTGTTATTTTTTTTAATAAAAATACTTGGGGAATTGGTTAACAGAAACATGGCTTATGGCATTAATAATTAATTACAAAAATGATTATATAACGATAAAGCAATTGTAATTTCATTTCTAAAAATATTGATTTGTATACAGAAATAATTTATTGGGTGTACATCTCACAGAATATAGTAATCTATATTCTTGGTATTTAATTTGATTACTACTACAGCCTTTTGGTTGTTTAAATCATTTTTAAATATAAATCGACATATAGTTTTGACTCAGTTCTAGTTTCAAACGTTAAAACTGGTTTTAACATATCGATACAAGAAAATAAAGCCGATTCTAGACTTTATTATATATTTTTATTGATTGCCAATGACTTTAAATGACTTATGATTTTTATAAATCAATTGGTTATAATTAATTATGTAACGGTAAACTAATTTTAAAAATCAATAATTCTATTTTAATTTAAATTATATATTTGAATATTCAAAATATTTGTCTCACGCCATTTTCTCATAACATTGTGTAAGCGTGATTTCTGTAGCATTCTATAGCATTTCTGTAGTATTTATGTGTTATTATGTTCTGTGGCGATTAACGCTAAGGTAATTT